ATTAGTTTTTATTCTTCAACCTTTAAAAAAAAAACAAAAAAACAAAAAACAAAAAAAACCCTTCCACACATTGAATTCAGTGGCAGAGTATTTACCTCACATGGGAAGGGCCCTGGAAGAACAAAGATCCCTAAATGTGAACTGCCTTTAATGGGAGACACTATTTTTCAATTCTAGGCAGCAAGTTTAATGCAGAATCCTCAAGTTCAACAGCTGTAAGTATCTAGAAAATACTTGTTATGTTTCCCTCTTGTGCTTGTCAGGCTGCTAACTTGAGCACATTTGCTCAGAGTAATTTAGAACTGCACGTCACATCGAACTGTTTGACCTAACTTCTTATATAATGTAGATATATTTAACAGACTTTTCCTTAACTAGTTACTGTACGTATTAAGAACATATGTTAATCTTATTAATATATTCCTGCATATCGTAGCATGTCAGGAATGATGACAAATGCCATTGGGGGACCTGCTGCTGGAGTTGGGGGCCTAACTGACCTGTCTAGTCTCATCCAAGCGTAAGTGTTGGTGTAAAAAGGGAAGAATGAAAATATATTTTATGTTTTACAACTTCTAAGAGGAGGGGGCAGAGCTATCGTGTGTGTGTGCGCGTGTGTGTTAGCGCAGGTTTGCAATACGTGCTGTGTATGTTCACTGTGGGAGCTGATACATACATATCCTGCATTAGTCCTCTTGATTTCCCCTTCTTTTCCTCTCCCTCTATCCCTAGCTGCACTTCACATTTGCAAAAAGTCTATCCCTGTTTCCTATTGTTTTTTATAATGCTATGTAAATTATTTATGCTTTTGGATTTCTCATATAAGAGAAACCATGCAATATTTAACCTGTTTCTGATTCATTTCCCTAAGCATACTGTGTCAAGGTATATACATTTTCTACAAAGGACTCAAATTTATCCTTGATGGCTGAATAGTATTCCTTTGTGCATACATACCACACTCTTTACCCACTCATCTGTTGATGGACACATGCAACATTCCCAAGACTTAGCCATTTTCAGTTATGCTCCTGTAAACATGGGGTCTGTTGGATGTGCTGGTGCAGTCCTGTTATCCCAGCTCCCAGGAGGCTGAGGTAGATGGATTATCACAAGTTTGTGGTCAGCCTGGGTTACACAGTTGTACACTTTCCTCTTGGAACCACAGTCATGTCTCAAAGGCTTTGGCATGTCTGTTCCTGTTGTCATTTGATTCTAAGAACCCTTTTATTTCTTCTATGATCCACTGATTACATTGATATTACATTGATTATTCAGGCAATATATTAATCTCTATGAATTTGTGTAATTTTCTGTGGTTTCTTCTGTGATCTGACAGTATTCAAGGCATTATTTCCATACTTTTATATTTATTCAAGCATGTTTTATGGCCTAAGACATGGTCCCTTTTGGCAAAAGTTCTGTGTACTGCTGAGAAAAATATGCATTCTGTTGTTCTTAGATGAAACATTCTGTAGCTATGTTAAGTTTATTTGTTTATTAGTTGTTTTTTTTTTTTTTTTTTTTTGTGGAACCAGGGATTGAACTCAGGCCCTTGCACTTGCCAGGGAAGCACTTATTCCACTGAGCCATCTCCCCGGCCCCCATTAGTTTGTTTTAGCTGGTATTTTTTGTTTAGTTGGACCTAATTATAAGTGTAGAATATTAAAGTCCCTGCTATGATTGTAATGGTGTGTGTCTGTCTTTTTATGTCCAATGCAGTTTTTATGAAGTTGGCTTTTCCAGCGTTCAGCTCAAACTGATAGTGATCCTCCTGTTTTCAGTCTCTGCAGCCCTGGGATTACAGGCGCATGCCACCACCCCTGGACTACATAGATATTTTTAACTGTGATCTCTTCCTGATGAATTGGTTTTTACTAGTGTATAGCGGCTTTGTCTCTTCTGACCAGTTTTGGCTTGAAGTCTTCTGTGTCTGAAATTAAAATTTATCTAGTCCCGCTTCCTATTAGTCTCCAGTTGCATGTAGTATCATTTTCCATCTTTTCACCTTTAGCCTGTGAGCTTTTTGAATAATACGAGCCTCTTGAATGCAGCATACGGCTACATTTTTTTTTTTTTTTTTTTGTTTAATGTTTGTGGTACAGGGTCTCACTACACAGCTTAGACTCATAGTGATCCTCCTGTTTTCAGCCTCCCCAGAGTTGGGATTACAGGCATGCACCAGCACATCTGGATGGCATTTTGGTTTTTGATCAGATCTGTCAGTCTGTATCTTTTGATTGGGGAGTTAAGACCATTGAGTGTGTACTATCCTGTCATTGCATTATTTTTCAAATGTGGACTCCATTTTTATTTTTATTTAACTGCTCTCCCAGTTAGATGTATACTTGCCTTTGGACACTTTGGTGTTAAGAATTGCCCTGTCTTCTAGGATTAGCAGATCTTTCCTACCTTTTATTCATATTATTGGCCTTTTCAAAGTTACTAAGTTGCAAAGAAGTTCATAAGTAGGCACTACTTTTTAAATTAAAGGATATGATTCCAGAAGACCTTGGGATGTCAGGCCTGCTCTGTCTGAGGAGAGATCATGTGGGTTGAAAATGCTTTTTTTTTTTCCCTCCTTGAGGAATCTGTATAGTCAACTTTCCCATCCCTGAGACACACTTATGACATCCACAACTTCAAGGAGAGGCTTAATTTGTTCAAGGTCCAGGAGATTCAGTTCATGGTCTGCTTGCTGTATAGCAGAAAACCATTATGGTGGAAGGGTGTGGCGGAGCAAAGCTGCCCAGTCCTGGTGGCTGCAAGCAGAAAAGGGGAATGCAATGAGAGGTGGACATGGAGGGTCAGAGGGAGACCCTATGGCCATGTCTTTATGACCCATCCAGACATGTAGTTCACCAATCCCCAGGGACGATCCTAAAGTAAATCAGGTTGATACTTTACCCTACCATAGGACCTTCAAGTGCCAGAAGAATCTTGAAGAATAGATGGTAGAAGAATGGTAGGCAATTTATACTCTTGTTCACTAGCTAGAGAAACTGAGGTACAAATTAGTGTCTGAGGAATTCAGAGCATCCATGGCAGAATGAGGTTTATGTTTAGTCCTGTTTTGTGCTGTGGTGCTAAGATTGACCCCAGAGCCTCATAAATGTTAGGGAAATATAAGACAGTGAAGCCACATCCCCAGCCCACTGGTGTTTTTATTACTTGCTTTTGTTGTTCTAAATTAGGGTCTTCAGTTTATGTCATGATATCAATAATTTCATTTTTATTTAGAGGACCCCATGGAGTTGGTGACCTGCTGCTTTTGATGGCATGGCAAGAATAAACATCATATGTCCAAATATATTATGATCTCATATATAAAAAAAAGTTTCT